GCAGGAGGATCACAAATTCAAACTCAGTCTGGGCAATTCAGGGAAATCGTGCCTGAAAATTAAAAAGAAAAAAAAAAAAAAAGAGCTGGGAAGAGGTTTAGTGATGAAGTGCTCACCTAGCATGTTTAGACTTGGGTTCTAGTCCCAGCACCACAAAGAAAACAAAAGGCAAAGTGAACAGAAGAGAAAGATCAATGAAAAAGGAATGTGGATGTATTTCTGAAAGACATGAAACAAACACAAGTGTAGGAGATAAGACAATCTGAGTGGGGACAAGGGCGTTTGAAGGTAGTGAATGGACAAATGTCGTATATCCATAAAATGGAATACTATGCAGCAATAAAAGTGAAAAATATGCTTTGATATGAACAAAACCCAAACAGTGCAATGAACAAAAGAAGCCAAACACAAAAGGCCACCTATTATATGATGTGCTTGTATGAATGCCCAGACTAAGACAATTTGTAGACACAAAGAAAGACTGCCAGTTGCCTGGGGCCAGGAGTGAAAACAGAGTGACTCCAAAAGGCAGATTTTAAGGGTGATAGAAATGCTTTAAAACTGTGATGATGTCTACGCAACTGCACTCACTAGACCTCACATAACTGTCTACTTACATGGGCCAATTTGGTTTGTACATAGAAATGCCTGGCAAAACCCTGTTTTTGTTTTCAAGCTCTGCACCGGGTGATAGATACGAGTGTGGCCGTCCTTCCCACATAAACGAGCAGCCAGAATCGTGGGATGAACTAAGTCCATGAACTGAGGCACTGCTGTATCTGGATTGTCTTCAGCCTTTTGGTACTGCTGTGAGATGATGGTGCTACCCGATTTGATGAGGCCAGGCAAGTAACAGAAGCACTGCGGCATACAGGCAGGCAGTTGTGGAAGGTTCTTGAATTTGAGGGTTGTGATCTCACAACCAGCCATCGGATAACAGCAGGGAGTGTATATAGCATTGGCTATACCCACACACCCTTTTCAGTTTTAATTTTGAGACAGGGTTTCCCTAAATTGCTGAGCTGCTCTGGCTGGGCTAGAATGCTCAGCTTCCCAGAGCACTGGGCACATGTGTACCACCACGCCCAGCCCATTCAATGATTTCTACAATAGCTGACCCAGGGCACTGGTGGGGAATCTATGGTACACATGCCACCGCAGGCAGTTTGTATCACTGACGGCTCTGAAAGGTTAGCCATCACTGACACAGCGTAACTAAGACCATGCAAAGTGAAACTGTGGTTGAGGAGAGCCGTATTCACCTGTCTGCTTTCATGATGCTCCCAAGCCTGCCAGGGCTTCATGGGATTCAGTTAATACTCAAAAAGTCTGAGTTCTCAAACAGATTCTGGGCCCAAGAGTTTTGCATAAGATTATGGACCTCTGACAGAGCCCTACCCACACGGCATGGGGATTTGAAGCACATTACTATGAGCCTGTTACTGTGACCAGCAGCTGCGCACTGTGTGCACCTCAAGACGGGCACACAGCATGGCAACACCAGCCAGGGAATGTGGGCAAGGGAGACAGGCTTAGGGAACAGCTGGACAAGAAGCCATTTCTATAGCCTGATCAAAGCCATTTGATACATCTGAAAAAGAAAAGAAAATGATCATTCAAAAATCTACTACAGAAACCAGATGTGGTGGCTCACACCTATCATCCCAGCACTTGGGAAACTGAGGCAGGAGGGTTGCTGTGAGTTTGAGGCCAGTCAGGGCTACACCAACCTGAACTTCAGAGTGAGACTTTGTCTCAAACACACACACACAAACATGAAAATAAAATAAAATAGACTATGGTAGTTAAGAAAATTCCTCCACCAAAACCTAGTAACTCCTATTAACTGAGCATCTAGTGTGTTCTAGGTTTGCGAGAAATGCTTTACAAAAATCCCCCAAAGCCTCACAACCCAAGGAGTAGACACAGTTCTCCTTTCTACATGGGGAACTGAGGTCCCAAGGCAAGAAATGTGCCCAAGGTCACCTAATAAGTAAGTGGCAAAGTAGCATCAACACACAAAATCACAACCAATTTAGTCACAGATCTAGTGTGTTGCCTTTTGTTTTTTGTGGTACCGAGGATTGAACCCAGGGCCTTCAAACTGAGATACACTCACAACTCTTATTAATTAAAAAAATTTAAAAAAATATTGACACGGTCTCTTGTTGAGTCATTCAACTGCACAGACTAGAACTTGTGACCCTCCTGCTTTAGCCTCCTGAATAGCTGGGATTATGCCCAGCTTCTAGTTAGTTCTTATTTACAATTCATCGTTTGGAGCAACTTCCATTCTACAAAATAGGATTGAGGGCCAGGATACAGCTCAGTGGCGTAAGTGCCTGCCTGGCAAGTGTGAGGTCATGAGTTCGATCACGGCACCAAAAAAACCCAAACAAACAAACAAATAGAATTGAGAGGTCCAGCCTGGGCAGGTGCAGAACTCTGGATTTTTGTAAAGCTACAAGGAGAGATGAGTTTCTTTGGGGTACCTTCTTTAAGAGTTAGGGAACCAACCTGCTTTGGGAGACTGAAAAATGCTATTTTCCTGCTTTCAGGAAAAATGGTCTGACTTGGGATTTAGCTGCTTCTGCAAAGTTTAACGTGGCAGTGGGCACGAGTGACTCCATTCTGGTTTAGGCTGACCTACTGGAGCCTGGCCCACCAGCTCAGTCTAAAACAGGGGCCTCCCATGGAGGCCAGGAGGTAGGAGGAAGCTAGGCAGGCAGACAGGGCACTGGGCCTGAATAGTTAACCTAAGCAAAGCGAAGGCCAGGGTTTGGATGAGTTAAAATGCAAAGGGCCTGAACAGCTCACCTGAGGAAACAGGAAACAGCCTCGGAGGGTCAAAGTATAAACAAGTCAGCCCACTCTGTGGACACTTAAAGGGCCCCTCAAGTTCTGACACCCGCACCTATACCAAAGATGGTAAAAAAGCCCCTGGCCTTAACCACCTAAGGTGTTTCCACCTTTCTTTTCACTCTTCCTAATACACACGCACCCCATTTGCTTGCCGTTTTGTGGCTTTCTCTGTGTCACCTCAGAACAAGCACCCAAAGGGAAGCTGGTCGTTTAACAGCTCGGGTTCGAATCTCAGACTGCAGAGTTTGTGTCACTGTATACCACTCTCCTATCCTTCTGTGTTTCTAAATCATATTGCTTTTTCTTTTTCTGTTGCCAGGGATCAAACTCACGACCTCCTGTTTGCCAAGCAGGCACTTATGCCGCTGAGCTAAACCCCCCGCCCCCCCACTCAGTTTTTAAAACACAATTTCATCGTATAGAAAAATTGAAAGAAAAGTAAAGTGATGCCTCCATATTGGCCACATTTGCTTTCTTTTTTTAAACAAGCACCTTTGAAAAACAAATCAAGGCCTTCTACCAGGCGACATTATGATTCCATTTTACAGCCCACAGAGAAAATCATTCTGTCTTCTAAAACACAGGCCATGAGCAATGGGAATGCTGTCCCCAGGCTTCTGTGACTCTTCTAGCTAATAAAGTCCCACCAGGGCTCACACATGGCTGGGAGTTGTCAAGTCCCCTCAGACTCTTAAGCTACTCCCCCTGCCTTTTCCATTTTTCTGTAAGACTCTTGTTACTTTTATCATAGAAAAAATTAAGATGGACTTATTTCTACTTGATTTGGAGAACACATGTATAATTTGACTGTATAAAAAGTAAAAATATTTACACAAATATTTAGAAATTTATTTTAAAAATCTATTTTTTTAGCCAGGCACGGGGACACAAGCCTGTACTCACAGCACTCAGGAGGCTGAGGCAGGAGGATCCTTGTGAGTTGGAGACCAGCTTGGGCTACAAAGTGAACTAAAGGCCAGCCTGAACTGCATAGAGAGGCCCTGGCTCAAAAAGAGCCCTGTGTCAAAAAGACAAAATTAAATTAAATTTTTAAAAAATCAGACTTCTCAGTCAGGTCTTACAAAAAGGCAGGGGGCAACAGACATACTCACAAGGAATGTTTATTTATTACTTTTGTTTATTATTTTTGTTTCTTGGGTACTGGGGATCCATCAGAGAGCCTCGTGTGTTAAGCAATCGCTGTATCAGTGGACTACACAGTCAGCCCAGGTATACAAGTTTAAAAACATTCTGTGTTAGGAAAGTAGCTAACCGAGACACTAAGAGGAAGGCTGTGATTACTCAGAAAGGGCAAAACCCAGCTAAGAAAAGTTGTCCCGTACATTAAGGAGGATCAGTGGTCACACTGTCTAAAGTTGGTAAAGGAAGAAATAATATAAGAAGTAGCTTTAAAGATTTGGAAGTGTTTATCCAAGAAACACAAAAGAGAAAATGTTGAGAAAAAAAAAAAAAACACCTACGTTCCAGCATTACCAGTTACTTTAGCTATTTTTGAAAAGCAAGTTAATTACAAAAATGATTAGCTCTGCCTGGGGAGGAGACATTGTCGTTTAAAGAAGTGTTTTTTCATGCAAAGCCATGTCTGTCTGATTTGTCATTTATTCTCATGTATTCTTGGGTCATTTAAAGAGTGATTCTATATCTTAAAGATCTCTTAAAAGATTCGTACTATTTGAGTCTTTTCAAAAGAGCGTAAACAGATGGTGTGCGAAGTTGAAGGAACTTGCTCTAGAACCTTGCAAAAGTGACTTAGAACAAAACTTACATCAGGGGCGTGGGCGCACCACACACACCAGGTTCCTGGGGACTCGGCCAGGAGTCCCAAGGTCCCCGGGGCGGCCCGAAGGGGCTGCGAAGCCGGCCGCGCAGCCGGGGCCGGGGCCTGCAGCGCGCGGAGCGGGGCTCGGAAGCGGAGCTCTTCCCGTGCAATTCCGGACTTTCTAGCGCGCCTTCCTAAAAGGAGGCTTGGACAGTGGGGGCTGGGAAGCGGCGCCGGGCTCCCGGGCCCCCCACCCCACCCCTCCTCATCCGCCCAGGTCCGGGGCCACAATCTCTCCAGCTCCGGTGGGGACGCAACGCTCGCCCCGACCTGGGTCCCTACCGGTCCTGGTGCTCACCTGGCGGTCGGCTGGGGGCGGCGGCGGGGGAGGGGGTCCCCGGGGTTCCCCACGGCCCAGCGAGCTAGAGCAGAGGTGCTACGAGGCCCTGCGCGCTGGCGGGCGGGCGGGCGGGGACGAGGGCGGTGCCGGCCCCCGAGCGCGGGCGGAGCGGAGGGCGGGCTAGGAAGGCAGCCCCCAGGCCCCTGTCCCCGCAGCCCCGGGAGACGCGCCCCTCCCCGCCCCTTTCGTCCCTCCCCCTCCCCTCCCCCTCCCCTCTCCCTCCCCACCCCTCCTGTCCTTTCCCGGTCTCTTCTCCCTTCCCCTCCCCCGTTCACGGGGTTTCCTGAGATCCGAGCCTAGACTGGGGCTCCCTCCGGAGGCACCTCCTCTGGGCGGGCTCCTCCTCCACATTAACACCCACCTCTCCATAAGGCCCTCTTGTTTGGATAAGAAGCTCCGGCCACAGGGACACTTCACCACCCCACCCCACCCCGGAGAGCGAACCCAGGATCTTCGCATCGAGCTACATTCCTAGCCCTTTTTTGTTTTTTACTTCGAGACAAGGTCTCTCTAAATCTCTGTGTTGCTCAGGCTGAACTCAAATTTGAAATCCTCTTGCCTCAGCCTCACCGAGTGCTGTGATTACCAGGCAGGAATTATCTCCTCCTCTGAACCTTGTGTTCCAGGGCTGGATTCTGGGAATCCCACTCTTTTCTCCCGTCAAATCTCTCTCCTAAACATACTTTTCTACAGCGATTTGAAAAGTCTGTTTTCCTCTACTTTAGGAACAATCCAACTCTCCAACATCAGTAGCATCTTTTCAGGCCTAGGGTGGACGATATGGGTGTGTTTCTAAGGATAGATGTGAAATTGTGTAGTTCATTCCCCTCACTTCCTGTGGTTCTGTATCATTCCTCCGTATGTGGGAGGGAATCTCTTGGGAGGAATGTCAGACAACTATCAGCCCCAAGGCACTTTTTCGGTAGATTAGCATTCATATGACTGCAAGCAATAGGCGCCCATCAAAGCTAGCTGAAGTGAGGTGGTATTACAGCTCCGGCTGAGGTGGGTCCTCAGCCGACTGGATTGGTCCTCCATGATCACGTGAGTAACGGGGTGTAACATTTCAAGGCCAGGACGTTATAAATAGGCAACTGCTCCATCAGGCTGGTCTCACTGCCTAAAATGTTTGGGGCCCTAGTTTATGAAGAAACTTTAGGTTTGTAGATAAGCCACTATAGCCCTGCCACTGGGGTGATTTTAAAAAATTGATGCCATAATTAAGCATCTGCTGTGAACCAGTTGCAGACTATTTAGATAGTGTATGTTTACAGATATTAAACAATTTACTTCGGCGTGTTTACTCCAGATCGATTAGAAACAGCCCGGGAGGTCTCTGGAGCAATATTGGATCATGGAAAGATGCCAAAGCCACAAGTAAAAGGTGGCTGGGAAGAATCCAAAATCTTCACCCCTAGGTGATTCTTCATTACCAAGGAGGAAAAGGGAACCCATGCAGGAATCTCTGTAGGCCGCACTGATTAAACGTTGGCTCCCACTGTGACATCCTGACATCAATTGTGTTTACATGTAACACAAAATTGCCTGTGCAGATTTCTTATTCTTTTCTTTTCTTTCCTTCCCTTTTTTCTTTTTCTTTTTCTTTTTTTTTTTTTTTGGTATTAGGGATTGAACTCACGACCTGGCACCCTTCTTACCTTTTTTCCCAGTGCTTCAACTTGAACTCAGGGTCTCCACCACTGAGTTACATCTCCAGCCCTGAGCCTAAATATAATAGTGAGATACCCCAAAGACTGATAACAATCAAATATAGTTGTTGCATCTTAACTGGGCCCCTAATGAGCCTTGACATTGAGCTCTCTCCCCGCTGGTCATTGCAGGTTTTCTGTTCCTTTGTTGTTGTCATTGTTGTTTTGAGATAGCGTCTTACTATTGATAGAACTGTGGGGGGACCGGTGGGTGGCTGGAAAGATACCTTTATTTTGGGAATGCGGGGAGAGACACCCCCGACCCCCTGGGGCGCGGCATCTCCACCCCGGGGGGTTGGGATCTCGAGGAGTGAGGCACATAAGTAGCCTCAGTTTGGGGTGGAACCTAAGGGGGCATTAAGGATGCACAGGTAGCCCATTGGTCTTTGTTTGGCCCCAGAGGTAGATTCCTAGGGGAGGGGGAGATAGGAACTCCTTGGCTTTACCAGCTACAGTGTCCAGCCTGGGCCAAAACCCTTTCAACTATGTAGCCCAGGCTGGCCTCAAACTCACAGCAATCCTCCTGCCTCTGCCTCCCAAGGTCTTGGTTTTCTGTTCTTACCTGATGATACTGGCTTATTGCTTGGTATTCTTTTTTTTTTTTTTTTTTTTTTTTTGTCTTTTTCATTTTTATCGGTACCAGGGATCGAACTCACGACCGCCTGCTAGCAAGACAGGTGCTTATGCCGCTGAGCTAAATCCCCAGCCCCTTGCTTGGTATTCTTAAAGGAGGGACATAGCTAGTGATTGTAGGTGATAGAGGTGGCTTCCTGTTCTAAAAGATGGCTGTTTTCTCACCAGGCCTGTGTCAGGGTATGAATGGGAGCTTTGAATCTGTGTGAAGTTTGGTACCATGGGCTGGGTGATTGAGAGACCAGGAGCTCCACTTCTAGCTGCCCTGCCTCAGTCACAAGGGCCTAGGCAGGGCTGGCTGCCATTTTTTTTTTCCATCCAGAGGCCAGCATCTGCCTGAGTTACCAACTCAGGCTGTTCCCTCTTTAGGAAATGAGTATTCAACTCTGGTTTCCCTAGATGTTGGATGTCTTGTGCCCTTTTACGCGGGGAGGAGAGGACACAGAAAGCACAGATGACTACAATGAGTGGCCCTGGCCTCTGCTTTCCTAGAGCCTCCTCTTAAATGTTATGCTTGTCTCTACTGATTCATTCTCCTGTGTCTCCTCCTGTCTTGTCTACAGGAAACGTGCCAGCTTCTCTTGTTTCCAGTGGGCTCTGGAGTAGGTTATATAGTTGTCTATCGGAAGTATCCACACTAGCCGGGCGTGGTGGCTCATGCTTGTAATCCCAGCACTTGGGAGGCTGAGGCAGGAGGATCCTTGTGAGTTCGAGACCAGCCTGGGCTACAAAGTGAGCTCAAGGCCAGCCTGAACTGCATAGTGAGACCCTGTCTCAAAAAGACAAAAAAAAAAAAAGTATCCACACTAACCCCTAAAACCTGTGAATATGTCACTTTACATGGCAAAAAGGGGTTTGCAGTTGTGATCAAGTTAAGGATTTGTGTGTGTGTGTGTGTGTGTGAGAGAGAGAGAGAGAGACAGAGAGAGAGACAGGGTCTCATTTATGTAATTCAGGTTGTCCTTGAATTCAGTATATAGGCTGACCTTGAACTTGCAGTGATTCTCCTACCTCAGCCTCCTGAGTGTTGGGATTACAGATATGTATGCCACATTTGGCTAAATCAAGGCTCTTGAGAAAGGGCGATTATGCTGGATTTTCTGGGTGGATCCTGAATAGGATCACAATGATCATTGTAAGAGGGACATGGAAGGTGGCTGTCATGTTGGAAACAAGTTGGAAGGATGTGCTTTGAAGATGGAGGAAGAGAACACAAGCCAACAAATGCAGGTGGCCATTGGACACAGGAAAAGGAAGCCAAATATGATGATGTGCACCTGTAATATCTGTTACATAGGAGGCTGAAACAGGATGATCACTTGAACCCAGAAGTTTGAGACCAACATGGGCAAGAGATGGTGAGACCCCATCTCTTCAAGCAAGCAAGGAAACAAACAAACAAACAAACAACAAAAACCAGGAAAGACAAGAACGGGGTTCTTCCTTTAGTCTCCACAAGGAAGCAGCCCTGCTGACACCTTAATGTTGGCCCAGAGGAGCTAATTTTGCACTTCTGACCTCTAGGAGTATAAGAGAATAAATTTTGTTGTTTCAAGTCACTGCATTTGAGGTGGTTTGTTACAGCAGCAGCAGGAAACAAAAGCAGTCTCTCTGCAGTCTCTTTTCCAGTGACATTGGATCCCCTCCCCTCATTGCTTTAGCTACAAAAGTAGACCTTTTGCTGGGGACACTATTCAGCAAGACTGGCTTAGTCCATTTTGCTGCTGTCACAGATGACCCAGGGCTGGGTAACTGGATGTCACCAGGCTCTCCTTTGAAGATCCAGACTGGGGAAGAAAGGCTGCCAGGGACTTTTGTCTCATTGGCAAGTGGAAACTCCAAGAGCCTGTGGGTTACCTAAAACCTCCTGGCCCAAAAGAAGTGCAGAGGAAAAGACTAAAGGCTTGGGTTTGTGAGCAGTAATTCCTGAGGGAATTTGTTATCCTCCTGCCTCAGCCTCTTAGCGTGCTGAGGTTATAGTCATGTGCCACCATGAAAGGATAGATTTTTAAGGTAAGAGATATGCTGATTGCTCTGACTTGATCGTTATGCATTGCACACATATACTGAAATGTCAGACTGCACCCTATAATAACTGTGTGCCAATTAAATAAAAATTATTTTTATAAAGACAGAAAGCAGTCCTTTTGGAATCAAAGTCCCATTTCATAATTTCGGCATTTTCTTTTTGCCAGAAGGGAGTTTCTGTTCAGTGCACACTTGAAGGAAGAGATCTCAGAGTATGAATACTGGGGAGTAGAAATCCCCAGGTCTTGCATACATTGCCTCCCAGAGCTGTGAGCAAAGGGCTGATGGAAGCTGGGTGTAGAGATCCTTTTCCCATCCTCATCAAGATTCAGGAAGTTTGTATTTGTAAACTCTGGAAAAGTTGTTGGAATTCTAGTGAGATAATTCCAATCTGCCACGTCCAGTGCAACTTGAGGCAAGAATAAAGATACTAAGACATATTTGTAATTATGAAGGGCCAAGGGGTCCTGACTCCAGCCAGAATGACAGTTTGTCGGAAGCCTTAACCCTGGATTTTCTTAGTTCATGAAGAAGGGAGTGGCTGGAGGACGAGTGACTGTGAGAAAGGTGGGAATTATATATTGTGAGCTGGACTAGGTGGGAGGCCAAAAAGCACCTCTCCAATATGCAGAGAGCAGGATATGCAGAAAGACCAAGCTGCATAACACAAGTGGGGTAGCATTTAATGTCTTGCGGGTTGGTGCTTCAGTTTCTGATGTGCA